TATTTAAATTCATGAATTCTTCCTGCATAATTCGTCTGTTTGACTTCAAATTTGGTCAGGACGATCACAAGACCTTGAGCATGAACATTAATCAAAATCATGAGTTTTCATGAAAAGACTTTGCTGTGGCTAGGCTGCCATTTTGGCCATTATACAAAATATTTTAAAAATGGTATAACGCTATCAGACTTTGGTCTATTGTCCCCAATTACATGTGGATGATGTTGGTCCAGCCATGAAAACATCTAGAGGCCGATGATAGATTTACCCCGCCCCCTACACTGTTACAACACCCCTTTCATAACTCATGAACTGTTTGTCATAGACCCTTTTGCGTGGTATCGTAGCACTCGGCGAGTTTCTATTTCATTTACGATGGTTTGTCGCTCCCCCTACTCTTTAGCTCTGACCACTCAAATCACTCATGCCAAGTGGAAGGTTTGGTTTCTCTCTGATGAGCTTAAGGTCACCTGCCTGTAACCCCGACTCACGTAGAAGTGCGAGATGGGGCTGTTCAACTTTAAATGTTTTTACATTTGTATTTAATTGGGCGTTGGTTCTGAGGCTCCCTCAAGCTATAATCTGGGGCATCGCACCAAAAAGGCTTCAATGTTTGCTTGTCATCAGGTGCAATGATAACAAATTAAGGTGGTCTCATTATCAGTTGACAGTTTTTGCCTTGCACCTGAACACTTTACCATATTATCTCGTCTGAAAGAATTTCAATCAACAAATTAACTGGAAATCCTGAATCCACATGTTCTACTCATCAAGCTCATCATGATATTATATGTACATTTAATTCCCCAACCACCTATCCAACAATTGTATTGGTGTACGTCATTCTGCCAAGTTTGGTTTTTATTCCTTTCAGTATTTTATACTTATGCTAGTCAAAAATGAGCTGGTGACCTGGGGCTGTTTGCGGGTCACTCCTGTGTCTAGAGGAACAGAGGAAGGTGTAAAGTTACAGACACAGTAAGGTCGAATGAAATGAGTGTATAGGGGGTTGAAAAGGTCATGTCGGGATAAGAGTTCCTGCATCCCACTGAAGTAAAACTTTACCATTTGGAGGTGAGAGTCACTATAAAGACAATTAAATGTTTTAGGACAAGCAAAGAGTAGATTCCCTTGCTCAATTAATTTAATTAAGATCTCACTTGGATTTGCTATTTGATCGTACAGTGTGATGTGATACCTGAAATACTGCATTGGTAGAAAGATCTGTACTGGTGTGTACAGATATGAAAGATAAGGGGTGTAAGAAGTCAGAGGCTGCCATCATCAGATGATAAAACATTATTACTTCTTGTCAAGCATCAGCAAACCTGAAGGAGTTTGAGTAAAAACTTCCCCTTGTTAACACGTAAAGCAGTATTGGTTAATGGTCTAAGAAATAACCCATTGATTTAAGCTTCACGCCAACTGCACGCCGAGGGAAGAGAGTTTAAGCCGGCCCTAATGGAAGCTGCGGTAGATTAAGCTTTAGTGTGTGTCCTCTACTCGCAATCACTGGTGTCTTCGGCATTACACTGAACGGTAAAGAGGGCTTTGTTTATGCTGAGTTGTGCATCATATTATACAGCCTTTAATAGTTGAACTCATTGCATTGCATTCATTAACTTTAAAAAGACATATTATACAACGGTTCATATTAGTATGTAGTACCTCTACTGTGACATGTCTCCATGCTTTAATGTTCAAAAAGCTCTTTATTTTTCTCATACTGCCTGTGCTGCAGCACCTCTTTTCACCCTCTGTCTGAAACCAGAGTCCAGTCTGCTCTGATTGGTTAACTGGGTGGACCACTTAAATGTGCTGCTTATGAGCCTATCACGTAAAAAAACTAAATAACACACTACAGGAAAGTAACATCACATAAAGCATATAGGGCCCCTTTAACAGGAAAGCCTGCCTTTCATGAAGCATATTCAGGCAGTATCCTAAACAGTATACATACACCAACAATTAAACACATGAGCACATACTATAGTTTAAAAAGCAACAATAAAATATGAGCTCACATAAAATGCTCGGTTTTAGTTTAATACACACAGTTAAGCACACACACACACCATTTTATGAACATATGGGTTCACTTACTGAATTAAAAACAACAAATTAACCAAAGAAAGTGAAAACCATAAAGCAGTAATACTGCTAATAATCCTAGTTTTAGAAATGTAAAAGAAATCTGATTTAATAATTTTTTAATTGTATGTAACTATAAGGGAATACAGTAACCTTTCTTTGTTTCGAGATCCGTTACTCCCCTAGCCTGATCTTTACACTAATGAAACACAAGGCGCCCAGAACTTCCATCGCAATAACAGAAAACACTGAAATATAATTGTTGAAGACGATGCATCACAGTATCGCTCGAGTAATTGTATGCAATCAAAAGCGTGGTTAATATTTAATGACGAAAAGGACATTTGTATGATTAACTTTATAGAACTCTTGGAATGTGGGCACTGCTGAATTAATTAAAGCACAAATCAAACCAAATGAGACAGATGATGCGTTCCACTTTGACTTTTATTTAGAGAAACAACTTGACGTCAATATGATGCGCTGTGGAGATGCAATGCAAAGAGTTCTGACTCACATCACTGGCTTATATCTGTTAAAACTCATGGAAACTTCTAATTTATTATACATGCATCATCCTGACATTTTTTGACACACGGTGTAATGTAAGAAAAGAGATCCAAATTTAATTTAGAATCACAATGGTAAACCAATTACAGTTTTTCTCGATTGCTAACACACAAAAATTATACATAAAACTCTAAACACGTTTTCAGCTTTTCACACAATTTGCAAATCAACATGGCACTTTTTGCAAACCACAGCACACGTTTCTCCACGTAAGAGACAGGAATCTGACATAAAGTCACGTGTTAGCTGGTTTAAAACACTGATATTCAAAATGCCTCACACATGGACCAATGGTCAAGAAACCCGTTCCACCTGACCAAACACCTGATTGCATATTGGTTGGCTCATCAATCAGGATGTTAAAACTATAAAAAGAACACAGGTATATACTTTCTTACAGCAACAATGGAAGCCAACATGGAAGCAAGAGGAAGAGGAAGAGCTGGGGTGAGAGTGAGAGGAGGAAGAATGAGAGGTAGAGGTAGAGCTGGAGGGAGAGGACGTGGACAAAGAAGAATACTCTCTAATTACAGTTTTTCTCGATTGCTAACACACTAAAATTATACATAAAGCACAATTATTTTAACTGACACTCAAAGAGAAAAACATCGGCTCTAAAGACGTTTTCAGCTTTTCACACAATTTGCAAATCAACATGGCACTTTTTGCAAACCACTGCACACGTTTCTCCATGTAAGACACATGAATCTGACATAAAGTCACGTGTTAGCTGGTTTAAAACACTGATATTCAAAATGCCTGACACATGGACCAATGATCAAGAAACACGTTCCACCTGACCAAACACCTGATTGCATATTGCTTGGCTCATCAATCAGGATGTTAGCACTATAAAAATACCACAGGTGAGTACTTTCTTGTTGCTTTACATCAACAATGAATCAACATGAATGCAAGATTAATATGGAAGGATCTTGGGTTGATGAGGGTTATAGGAAGAGTAGGAGGATATCTGTGGCTTATAGTGGAGAGTAGATGAATGGGAGTACTCTCTAAAATAAATTTTGATCAACGCATGTTTTGTCGCGTAATTAGAGAGTGCTTTACATATGGTTCATCTAATCTAAGCCGGGGATGAAATTTGCCTCTTTAATCCTACACTTAGACTTAAAACATGTTATTTTTCCCAGCTTCGATTCTGTCAGTTTTAATTCGGGTGGGTATGGATATATCATTGGGTTAGTA